GGGGAGCAGGTTGTCCCGGAAATCCCGGTGGGGTGACTTGCATTGCCGCTTGTAGCATTGGTACTGATGGAGTGGGTACCGACGCAGCCATCAGGATCGATGGGGCTGATGAACCCAGGTCCTGATTCTTCTTTGGCTTATGAGCTAGTTTGGCTGTTTTATCCTTCTTCGCTTTCTTATGGGAAGATAGATCCGACCCGCCATGTTTCCTTTTCTCCCGCTGTTTACGTGGGGGAGAAAGAGATCGTTGGGATCCAGATGGTGAAGTCCCATCGTCCGATGGGTGCGGCTGAGGCATGGGTGGTGAGACCGCAGGGCGTTGCCCAGGCGTGGCTGAAGCAGTAGCCAGGCGTTGGCCAGAGGCAGCCGAGGCAGAAGCCGGGCGCTTGGCGGGCGGAGTCAGAGCAGGCCCAGATTTTGCAGTGAGTTGGTCCAACTGCATTAAAGCTTGATCCCAGAGGAGTTTCTTCAAACGATTCTCCCTGTTTTTGCAGGCCTGCTTGGTGAACGTGAGGCAATGGTGCCATTTATCTGTTCTGTGCCCCTTGCTGAGGCAAAGGAGGCACAAGTCATGAGGGTCCACTGGGGACATCTTGGACCCACATTCCACGCATTTGCGGAAAGCCGTTCGCTGCGCCATCAAAGAAAAAGAAGAAATAGAGGATAGTAAAGAGGGATAAGATGATATTTTTGGTTGTTTTTTTTTTAGACATGAGGAAAAAGAGAAAGATCTAACAAGGGAAAAAACAACTTGGAGTAATAACATTAAGAACAATAAGAATGATAAGATAAAGAGCAAATACAGTATTCAAAGCAAGAGTTGAACAGGCACGAGGCACAGCGAACTGTGGTCACTAAAGACTGGAGAAAATGGCGGACACTCCGCTCTATATATAGTACTGAGGGGGAGGGCAGCGGAGTTTTCCCGCCAAAAACCGTTAGCTTTCTAATCTTTCTGGCCTTAGGCACTGCGCAGGCGCAGCACCCATATGTGTGATGCACAGAGGCCACGATGAAGAACATATTGTCACCATTTGAAGTAGGGCAAGATGGAGTCAATGCAGTCTATTTTAGATTAGAGGAAGAATGTGGTGGCCTGCTAGGGTATAGATTAATTTCTTGTGAGGTTGTTTGGGTACAGGGTTCAGGAGATTTACAATGATTTTCTGTGGGGTTGGAGTGATGATCCGAAGATACTAAGTCAATTAGAGGCTTGGCTGCTGCTCAAGTCAGCAGCAGTGTTTGTTCCAGTTCATCCAGTCATCTCAGAATTTCTTCTTGTTTGCAGTTCGGTAAAGCTTTAAAGGAGTTAATCAGTCCTGTTTCTAATGTGTCATCAGTGCCAGTTTTATCTTGCATAGATTCAGTGTGATTATTTGAACAGTATCTTGTCAAGGACACTGAGGGTGCTAAGTTGCTATGGTTTTTATCATTTGGCACATTGCCTATAACGCAAGGCAGAGGAGTAACCGCATGAGAAGTTGGCCCAAAGAGAGCATTTCTTTTTTCCTCTCAGAAGTCACGCAGTGGGTATATTTGAAGAGTGGAGAGAAAATGTTTCATTTTAAACATCACACAGGGGATAGTGGAATAGTTAAAAGACAACAAAATTTGCTTGTGTTCTTATACTAGGGAGCCATTCAACAGCACCTAGGCCCGAGGTCAATCATATAGCTTGGACATTGAAGGAGTGAGCTAAGTGTATAATAAGAGTATAATAGCTCTTCTTGTTGTCCAGTGACCAAAGTTAGAGCTGTTGAGCATAATCCTTAGAGCAACCTGGTGTGTTTGAAGGGTACGGTTGCATTTATTTAGTTTTAACCCTTTGGAGGGAGATGGAATTATAGACTCTCACACTGTCCAGTTACCCTTTCTGATCTTAGTTGGTTCTTCTGGGCAATTTTGTTTTCTTTGGTTGTCCACAAACAAGTCAGAACTGGTACCAATGTTTTGAGCTGTTACAAAAGCTACCAGCTTGTCTGTACAGTCTTGCACAAAGGTTTCAAAGACTGTTTTTAAAGAGTCCATCTTTGTATTTATAGATGTTAATTGTTCAAAGATTGAAATTACAGTTTGTGCAGTGAGTAGGCATTGTTTGGCAGTGAAACCTTTGGTGATTCTTTGCATTCCTCATCCCCCATCGAAGATGTATTAGCATCGGGGGAGAGTAATACAGGGAAAGGTTCAGGCAGATGATTTGATTCCTCATGCAAGGTAGAGGACAGCTCTAAGAGTTAGAAACATAGAAACAGAGCGAGTCAGAAGGGGTCTCCCGGGCCATCTAGTCTGACCTTCGGCACCAGCCGGCTCTGCTCACAACATGCCCACCATGTGCATGTGCAGCCTATCTTTGAACACCCTCACCGATGGGGTCTCAACGACCTCTCATGGAAGCCCTTTCCATACCCTTGGGGTCTTAACTGTCAGGAAGTGCTTCCTGGTATCCAAATGGAACCTTGTTTTTCAACTTCTAGTTGTTGTTTTTCAACTTCTGTCTCCAAGTCCCAATTCAAAATATCATAACTATCAAAATAGAGTAAGGAGGACTCATTTTGTAAGAACCAAATAAGAAGACTGTCTTCTTGTTCCTCATGTAGTCATCAATTTTTGCTGTTTTGTTGGCTTAGGTAGAATATGAAAGCCTGAGCTTATCTTGTTAAGTTTCTTATTCTTATTCTTTCCCATTGCTTTGATGTTGGAATCTGCATCTTTCTCTCCTGCTTTTGCTGCGATTACTGCTGTCTCAAGCAGGATCGTTTCTCTGCCTTCAGAAGCCTCCATGTCCAAAAGGGTGACCTCCATAAGTGGATCTACTCTAGCGAAGAAGCAGTTGCTTTGGCAACTCTCGAATCTATTTACACGAGCTCTTCCCTCAACTCCCAAACCAGGATTACACCATGGCCAGCTGTGTCCATATTGTGGGTGAGGCTATTTCTTACTGTGGTCCGATAGTGTTTTACTATCATTACTAAGCCATTTAGAAATAATATAAGGCATTCTTACTGTTCAGTGAAACAGAGTAAGCTTTGCATCTCTTTGTTTTATACATTATTATTACATAAATATCCTGCTCTTTTCCCTCTTGTGAAGAACCCAAGGCGGCTTACATGGTTCTTCTGTTCCATTTTATCCTCACAGCAACCCTGTGAAAATCTTTCCCCTAGGTAGAAACAAACCACATGTGTAATCTGTGAAGGGAAGGGTTCTGTTGTAAATGCCACTCAAACGAGGCAATTCAGCAATGTTCTACTCATTCATTGGCTGGAAGAGCTTTAGGGATGTATCTGCTTCTTAGGTATGAAATGATTAATAGGGACAAGAAGAAACACATGTGTTCAGCCTATGGGAAAACATTTCATCAGGTATTCTTTCTTAGTGCATGAGAGCATCCCTATGGAAGAGAAACCAAATGTGGTTTCAGCTTGTAGAAAAAGCTTGAATGCCAAGTCAGCCCTTGTGACATCCAAGAGGAATTCATTTATTTGAGAGATTGCATAAATGTGCAGCTTGTGGGAAAACCTTCATTTAAATATTGTAGTGTACACTACATTAGAGAATCTGCAGATTTATGTAGCCTGTGGGGAAATGCTTCAGTTGCAGAGTGCTTCTTAATGTACCAAGGAGGATCCCTGCAAACAAGAAATCATATGAATGCTTTCTTTGTGCAAACAATTCATGCACATCCATCACATTTTTACATACAAGAGATCTCATACTGGAAAAGCCTCACAGATACGCAAACTGCGGGGACTGCTTCAGCTATGAATCACACCTTAGTGTACATCAGTGAATTAAGAGGAGGAAAACCACATGACTACCATAATGGGGAAAAATAGTCAGTTGTGTCACCATTTGTGAGACCATGAGAGAATGTGTAGATGTTCTACTTGGTACAGAGGTGTGATCTAATTGCAGACAAGATTTAGGCTGAGAAGAATAGCCTTAAGTACTTGATCCTGTCTAATCTTGGAAAATAAGCAGGATCAGGCCTGGTTAGAATCTGGATTGGTGACTTGAATGTAGGAGTCTATGATTATTGGTGGAAACCATCAAGAGAGCTTTGGTTATGGGTGGTATAGAAATTTAATAATTTTCAAAAATGTGAGATAGGATTGCATGGCTTATAAAGGTCATAGAAGCATGGTGCTTAGCTCATCCTGTTTACATAGCAGGAATGGGGAACATGTGCCAATCCAGATGTTCTTAGATTGCAACTCCCATCAGCCTGAGCCAGCTAGACCAATAATGAGGGGCGCTGAAAGGTGTGGCCCAGCCTCTGGAAGGCCACATTTTCTCCACCCTGCTATTACAGTGTACCTTTGCAGCTTGTAAAGTCTGCAACAGACATGCATAGACAGGGCTTTATTTTGGAGTCATTAACAGGATGAAAGCAAACTTGTAAGGAACAAAATGGTTTATTAGAACTAGAACACCAGAACGGCCAGGTGTAATCCATAGGTCCATTCTTGGTTGCCACTGCCTATCCCTTGCTCCAGTCCAAGGTTGATACAAGTGTGTGAATGAGAATTTGTGCTCCCCCACCCCTGCATGGCATTGTGTGACTTTTTCAGTGGTGGGAGGAGGGATGATTTTGTATCACACAGTTCATGCATTAGACTTTATTGTAAGCTGCCTTGAGACTTTGGCAGTAGGCAGCATATAAATGGAAGTCTGCATTTATATCACATTTGCATTCTAATAATCAAAACTCCTTGATTACAGACTGTTAGGGGAATTAATTTTACAAGTTTGGTCAATTAGCTTCTCCAAGATTTGTATCTGAGGTCTAGAATATAAATCGGAAAGAAGCACTTTGCATACATACTAGAATGTGAGTATATCCTTTGGCTTGTGTGTCAACATTTCTAACATCCAGGATGACATCATGATGTTCTTAAACCCAGTTTATTGATGTTTTATAATGTGTCAGAGAGGACCATGAAAGAACCCTGCATAATTTTCAAGGCATTGTTCCACTTTTGATAGAATGTAAACTCTGATTTCCTTAAAATAAACACTTTTTATTATAGAACTTCTGCATTCATAGTTCATCCACTCATGCATGCACATCTCTATGGCTACATGTGCTATGAAGAGTCTAGACTGAAATGGTTTCTGCTTTTCTCTGGAAGATGTTTTAAAGAGAGTTTCATCAGAGGCTTTGGCTGTAACTCTGTGCACATTAGCCTGGAACGAAGCGCCACGGAATACAACATGGCTTATGTCTGAGAAGGATGGAACTGCTGGTTACTTTTCGGTGTATGGCAGCTGTTTAACAGTTGCATTTGTTTTTGGGATTCTGGTATATCCCCTTTTGATCTCAATCTGTCAGCTGAGTATCTTACAATCTTGACACCATAAACGTGGCATTTTTGCAGTGCGGAGGATATGCCCTTAACTTTCTGGGGAGACCTTGCAGGTCAGAAGTAAGACAACCAATGTTCTATGGCAAAACTAACTGATTTATTGCAGCACAAACTTCAACAGGACAGTATAATCTGTATGAGATGCATGAAGTGAGCAGCAAAGTTACTAAGAATACTTTCACATGAGGTCCACAACTTGATAAGCCAACAGGGTACATCTGGGCTGGCCCTTTAGATATCACTAACAGCTTGTGGAAAGCTAACATTAAGTGGTAGCAGGCCATTGTGCACACCACATTTCCGTAGCTTTCAGAGTACCTGTTGCTAATGGAATCATGTTCAAACGAAATGCATCATCACTCTGATGAGAAGGCATGTCCCAAGTGAGTAAGCTCCTCATTGTGGCACTGAAGCATGTGATCAGGAGTGCTGGAAAGCATCCCCCAACACTTCCTGTGAGTCGTGAGTTTTAACAACCAACACTTGAACTATGTTAATCCCTCTTAGCCAGGTGCATTACTAAGAGATGAACATGGGCAGCGGGCAGCAGACAGCTTGAGGAGCCAGGAGGTGAAATGACACGCAGTCTCCTACATTAGATAAACACACAGATGCCTGTGGTGTGCTTTCTTTAACCTCGGTATTTCCAGAGGTTGGCAGCATACACCAAAGCTGTAATATGAGAGCATTTTCAATACATGGATCCATGTGACAGACAGTATTCTATCAGCTAGCCTTATAAAGCATGGATGCTCAGCAAGAAACAGACACTTGATGCAATGTGCATGCATACAACTGCTGCGGTTAACACCAGACAAGGACCCTGGGTCACGCAAAAGGGATTAATCCCAGACAAAAAGCAAGTTGGACATGCATCAAAATATGGTTCTACGTGAGGAATGACTGATCTTGCTGACTTCAACTCATGTATGCTTAAACATCCATGAAAGCAGGGGTGGCCAACCATTTCATTTGGTCAGGTGCTGCAGGGGATGCATGTTGACAGCTGTCTGCACCAGAACCAAACATGTCCCACCTTTCCCACCACTTTCTTTTCCTTCTCCCAAGTGGACTGCCAGATTGCTCCTGCCAGTGATCTAAACTGACCACATGAACAGCGCTTTTGAAATAAGTCTGAGGGCCACATGAAATAAGGGTGTGGGCCAAAGGTTGACTACCTCTGCATTGAAAATGAGGCCAAATGGTAGAATCGCTTGCCTCAGCCTAGCTGTGACACAGCCACTATTTTCCACTGGGAGAATGGTTGGCCTGGTGCTTCCCCACCAAAGCCCAGAGCATGAGGATGGAGAGGCACCTGGGGAGAACTCATATGCAGGACGATGCCCTGAATTGTTGCACTAGGCAGAAGAGGGCGGCAGTGAGGGCAGTGTACTGGCACACAAGGAGTTTTATGCTCAGCTGGGGGTAGCCCCTGTCATAGGCTTGTTTAGCTGCCTGCACGAATTGCCAATAGCTACATACAACGTCCCTCAGATTGATGGTGAGGTCTTTGTGCCTCTTACTGCAAAGGCCACAGTTTGTGAACTGAATGCACATTTCTGTCAGCTGGAGAAGGTTCTGGAAGGTCTCCTGAATGGCATTTTGAGTCTCTGAGGAAGGCCCATGCGTTTTGATAACTTTCTGGCAACTGGACATCAGCCGTTGTGATTCCACATACAAGGAGTTCTTGTGTTCTGAAAAATGAGCTGAACATTCATCCCGGGAATGTTTTATTCTGTTCCCCCAAAACTGCCTTAAGATTTCCTGTAGCTCTACCACATTATGTAACAAATGCTGAAAGTCAAATTGGGAGGTACGTGTTCTATCTTTTATGCAGTTCAGTGCTCTGATAGGAGTCTCTGGAAGCCACACCTGATTTTTACAGTCGCTGGGGTTACCATTAACATAGCTATGTTCTTGAACAAGCCTTGTGGAATTCAAATCTAGACTCAGTGGGCTTCTTGTTGATGGTGGGGTAGTTAAAGGCCCTTCCAATGGACTACAGGCAACTGGACTACTGCATTCTAATTCTGCCTCATTGTCCAACCCACGAAAACAACTCGCATAGGTCAACTGGCAACTGCATCGGTCCGTTTTATGTCTAGTTGAGAATGTTTCTTTTGCATCTTCTGTTGGGTGCTTGGAACACAGAAATGATTGCTTTGAAACACGGCTGTCTTCACCAGGTTTGGCCAACTTATGTGACTCATTAAATGAAAAGCCCAGTACATCTGAACTGTCCACTTCTCTCTGCTTCATATTCCCTTTTGTAGGGAGACCCAGTGGATGGGGCAGTTTATAATCCACACGCAGGGCATTTTCTATGGGGTCTTTCACCTCTGGCTTCTGGTCACCAGTATGTTCTGTCAAGGAGGAAGGAGGCCCAGCTGAGAAATGGTGAGGCACTTGACTGAGGACATCATCTTTTAGAGAGCCCTGATTAACAAGAGGGACACTATGGACAGTGGTTCCCTGGTGTTTATCATCACTGTGCTGGCTTGAGTCTTCACAATCCACCATAGAATTAAAAGCAAGCCGGGAGAGGCGCATCACTATCCCTGAAGCACCATCACAGTGCTCAGTTGTTTCTGAGAAATGATGCATTTTGTCACCTTCAGATTTTTGAGTGGAGTCTTCATTTACCATCCCGCTGGCATTTTCTTGGAGCTGTGAGCCTTCAAGGGCCTGGCTTGCTTCATCCAAGATGGGGTCACCTTTGATTCTCTTGCAAGGACCTAATAGAAGCTGTGCATGTTGCTCCACCTGCTTGGCAGGAAGAAGGTCCTGGTCTGAGGTTGACATAGAAGACAACTCTTTGCTTTCGGGACTGTGCACAGACCGGGGAGGTTTGGTAGTTGTATGGATTATTTCCTCAATCAATACATAACTGACTCCTTTTCCTGGTGGGGCTGTTCCCAATTTATTCTCTAATGCTTCCTTGGTATGATACCCTGTGTTTGCTCCACAGTGTTCCTGGACCCTCCCAGATGTTTCTGCAGCATCTTCTAGTTTTTCTTTGTATGTGGGGTTAATTTCTTCCAGCTGAAAGGGGGTCTCTGATGTACTGAAACAATTCTTCTGGTGAACAGGAATGCAGGAAGTGAGCAAAGAACTGTTACGCTGTTCTGTGGACAAGGAGAAAGGGATGACATCTGAATTTGTTCCACTTTCTTGGGCACCCTGGAGGCGAACCACTGGGGCAGGACACATAGGTGAATCAGCGACTGACTTCATTTCTACTAAGTCTGGCTCCATCTCCATTAAATCAGCAGAAGGGGATGCATTTTTGGCCAACTGGACTTGCTGGGCTTCAGAGGCATTAGAATCTCTTGTAGGGTCTTTCAGAGAGACCACAACTGGAGAGCAGGAAGGACTTGGAAGGACACATTCTCCTTCAGAGCACATATAATCAGTGTTCTTCAGAGAGCAAAGTGAAGCCACTGGGAAAGTAACATGTGAGGTATAATTAGTTTGTAAGAAAGACCTCCTTTTCCTCTGGCTGTTGGTGCACCGTGGTTCCTTTCCTGTCCTGTGGTTGGGTGTCCTTCTGCTTTGTCTTGCAAGGATGTTTTCACCCAAGTTGCAACCAGGTGGCCCATTTGCTGAGTTTGAACACTCCATACTGTGTAGGGACAGGTCTCTGGAACCTATATATACAAAACATGGGGTTTAATGTGAAGAATTAGCTTTTATGTTCTCCACACTCTGGATAAATGAACGTAGGGGTATTCCTGCCTCCTGTTTGCCACATGCGTGAGAACTTTGTGGGGGCAAGGGAGCAACGGGCTGGAGGATGTCTGTATGCTGCAGGAACGGTGCCTCTTCCTTCATAGCTGCTGCATTCCCTTCCCCAGTTCTCTGCCTAGCTGCAGGTGTGGGGGAAATAGAATATAGCAGCATCCCCATCCCACACCTGCATGGCAGGCAGTTTAGGCTCCCTTGTGGCTACAGTAGGCACCATGCTTAAAAACTCCTCCCATTTAGAGTTAAAAAACAGGATGTTCATACTTAACATTTCAATAATAATTTATGAAGTTCTTCACGATGCTTAAGGATTCACCCTAACCTCTCTCACACACACAGACACACACACACGCCCACTGCACCTGCAGGCTAGTTCACACAGCCAGTGGATGTATACAGCACTCTCTTTAATACGTGGGTGCAGTAATGAAAGTAAAACTCATTGAAAGTAAACTCATTATGCCACCTCACTTGATCTCTGTAAATCAGTTCTCCCTTCATCCAATGAAGCTGTAAGGAGAAAGCTGGACACTGGAGGAGATAACTTGGGGTCAAGAGTGAGACCAATGACCTGGAAGCCACCAACTGGAATCTCAGCTCTTGCTGGGTAGCCTTTGGCAGGCCATTAGTGTTCAGCCTTGGCCAACCCAATAAGGACTATCATTCTGATCTAGATTTAGAGTGATTAAGTGTCCTACTTTGCAGTCCTGTATTTGAATGGCTGTCTAATCCAATTCCGTGAAGATTAAAAATATAAGAGCAACCCACTAAAGATGTGAATCTGGCCTGCAACAGTTAACACCTGAACACTAGACTGCCAATGTTTCCCCCAGCATGATAAGGCCCTTCTTCGGGAGCCCTCTTTAAAGGAGATCAGAAGAGTGGCAACCCAGAGAAGGGCATTCCCCAGAGAGGTGCACCTGGCGCTGACACTTTTTTCTTTTTATTATAAAAAAAAAACCCTTTTAATTTTCCCATTATTTTAATTTGCATTTTACTTTGGATTTTATTTGTTAATAATGCTGTACCATATTTGTATTTATTTATTTCACTGTGTTGCCACCCTGAGACATTGTGAAGGTGGGCTACAAGAACTTTAAATAAATAAATAAACAAACAAGATCAAGTGTTTTTCTATTTTTAAGTAAAGCTAAATGTTTCTGAATTTGGCATACGTGTTTATGTCAGCATATGTAAACATTCTGCTAGTCTCTGTCCACTTCTGCTCTCCTTTTAGGTGATGTATAAATGGCCACCTGCCCAGTATACTCAATGCCTATCTTACTTTCTTATAAAGAATAACAAAATTACACATGCAGTCCATATACTATGCTTCCTATGGTCTCAATGGAACATCAGATGCACATCTCACCCAGCTCACCTGCTTGCATCTCTGTAGGTGTCACCGCTTCTGCTGTGTCATAGAATTCATCGTCTGAACTGGTATCACCAAAGCCAGGTGGAGGGGCCAGAATGAGGCCTGGTGCTCCCCCTTTCCCAACACAGATCCCTTCATCTCCATCTAGACCATTCCAAGAGCCGCACTCGGGGCTGTTGCTCTGGGTGTTCCTCTCTCCACTACTGGCAGGGGAGATGTTTGCGCAGAGACTGTAGTACTCCATGGCGTCATTTTCTGCCAGTCTGGATGCCACGGCAGAGGCACATGATTCACTTTCTTTCCGGAATTGTGTCTCGGGCTGCGCAAGCGTGGAAAGAGGGAGGGAGGTGGGCAGGAGGAATGAGAAGACGCTTTCCTCTGCAGCTTGACTCCCCTCTTCGCACTCTGTGCCTGACAAGGCCTTGTCATTGCCTGTCAGTTCCTGCACGGTGGGGGTATAAAAATGAAAAAACTCAGGCTGGCTGGAGGAGCACGCTTCTAAATCATCTTCCTCCAGCGCATCCATAGAGTCGCTCGACGCACTGGTTTTGAGCTCCCGGCTTCCCAGGTTGGCAGAGTCAGAGGCTTCCGACCAGCTATCATTTGTGCTGTACCCATTGCAAAAGCTCTTCTCTTTGACCTCTGGATCCTTCCTTTCTTGCCCCGGCTCCTCCTGCTCCCTTTGCCCCTCAAGCGGAGGACAAAGGCAACTGTGCTGGGGTGAGTGGGCTGCTGAAAACCGGTCCAAGGAGGAGTCCCATTCAGAAGATTCCTCAGAGTCGCTGCCAGTTCTAGATTCGTATCCTGTAAGTTGCAACACACAGAGATGGCTTGATGAGAGTGGCTCCAGCTTGTAATCTGCCCTAAAACTGAACTGGAGTAAACGCTCCCTGGAAGGGGATTCTAGAACCTGTTTTCAGTAGGAGGGATTGGCCCTGTCAGGTGTGGAAAAGGGTGGCTCTGAGCATAGGCAGAATGCTATTTTCCTATTGCTGGAGAGTTACAACGGCCACAGGGGCTTCTCAGGTCAGGGGGGTGAACTTCTGCCCTACACACAGCTATGCAGGTGCAGGGTTCTACCTTCTACGAGTCTACTGCTTTGTATCTAACCAGGAAACAGAACACATGAAGGGGCAGGCCTAGGGAGGCTGGAGCAGTCCGTTCTCAGCTCCCACCACTGAGTACTAAAGATAGTGATTAGGCCACAACTGAACGCAGGTCTCCCCTCAAAAAGGAGGCCATCAAGGATACAGGGCTTTGCATGAGAGACATTTCACCTGAATCACCATTTTAATTTCTCTCACATGCATGGTAAAGTTGAGATGTTTATACATTTGGTGGGGGTGTCTTGTCCTGTGGCATTAGTGGTTTTAGAACACAGCATTTTCAGGAACAGCAGACAATGATGCCCAAACAGTCTATCACCACCGCTGGTTCTGTTAACAATATGGGAAGAACTATATGCAAAAGTGTCATCTAAGCATGGAATTGTGTTCAAACTGAAGGAAGCTAGTGGGATAATAGTTAAAAGCCAGAAGACTGCAAACATTTAATACTGAGCTCCTGCTGCATGGAGTTGTGCCAAATAAGCATGGCAGAAAAATTGACCTAGTGAATTAAATTAGCGAAGAGTGAAATTGAAATCATTACTACTTTATCAAATCCTTTTCCTGCTTGAAAGCAATCTAAGGTGGTTTACATGGCCCTCCTTCTCTTCATTTAGATTCACAAGAGCCCTGTAAAGTAGACTAAAGTCAGAGTCAGTATCTGAATTCATCCAGTGATCTTCATGGCCAAGAGAGAAGTAGAACACAAAATTCTCCTTCCAACCATGACACTGCATTAGCTCTGATTTTGATACAAGAAAAATCTCCAAGCAGCCAATGGATCCCACCCATAATTTTGCAGGTAGAAGAAGAAATAACACCATGTTAAATGCAATACCTTCTTTCAATAACCAGATTTACATCTGATGGGGTTGGATACAGATTTAAGCAGGATCAAGTATACTGCAGAAGTGGATCCCCTTACCCTTTCCTTCCCACAGCAGCCCCCCACCCTGACAGCTGCTGCAAATGCTACATAGAGAGTCAGTAGACCTTGCTGAATGGGGGGAGCAGAGTTATGTGGAAGAGGGGGATCCCCTGAAATTAACCCAGGGAACCTTTTGCAAGTGGAAATCATTCCTCTCACAGAAGGTCTGTTCCTATTGCAGAAGGCAGATTCTGGATGCATGCAGTGGTATGCTTTCTCTTTGTTTGTACGTTAGTCTGCCTTTGTATTTGGAAAAAGAATCAAGAAAGAGAGACAGAGAATGGTGCCAGTCACTTTCTTGAGGGAGGGGAGAATACTGTACTTGGGGACACCACTGCAGCAAACAATGCTTTGCCTTGCACATATTCCCACTGACAGAAGCCATGGCCACTTTTCACTTCGCCAGTAAAATTCCACGCAGCCCTTTGGTTGTTTAGGGCAGCTTATGTCATACCTTCCTCAGCAGAGAAGCGGTGCATTTGGGGCTCCCTTTCCCCCCAGAAATATATGGAGCTGCTTGAATCTACAAACATCCGGTAGTAGCCACTGATGAGGCAAGCCATATCTTTGGCGCTGTTGGATTCTAGTAGCAGGGTCAGCACCTTTGAAGGAGGGGAGAAGAACGCAGGCTGAAACGATCTGAACATCCACAGTAGTTTTGTCTAACCTGCTGCCTTCTACATATGCTGGGGAATGTAGGAAGCTATAGTCCAGCATGTCTGAAGGTCACCAAGTTGGAGAAGGCTGGTCTACCTAAACATCTATCTACCCTAACTGATCAATTCTTTGGGTTAGATCTGGAAACAGGAGTTCAACAAGAGAAAAGGGGTTAATTTTTCTCTGTCTACCTGGATTGTGATCATAATTAGCCCCCTCCCAGTTGATCTACCTTCATTTTTTAAAACCTGCATATTCAATGCAAAGATGCATTTAACATCACGGCTGGTTTGGTCCTGGGTTGTTGCTTCCAGCTAGGCTGAAAGAGGCTGCCAGTAAGATCAATGGGATTTGGCTTCCTTGTTTCTTCCCAAGCATGGATGGAGGTAAAGAGAGAGATTTCTTTGGCCCAGAGAGCCAGTGGACCCTGGCTTGGGCTATAGGCCTGATACCTAAGTTGTAGTTCAAGCTGGACAATGATTTTGCTGCTATATTCCCTGTGTTTATGTGGGGCATTTTGGGCCTGTAAGGAGTTATGAGATTTTGCTGGAGCCAGTCAGGAATGGAACCAACACCAATCTTGAGCAGTGAGTTGCTGACTTAGTCACAGAGTGGATCTTTGGAGAACAGCCTTCCCCAACCTGGTGCCTTCTAGATGCGTGGGACTACAGTTCCCAACAGCCTCTACCAACAATGCCAATGCTTGGTTAAGCTATCTATGTCCCATACTATCGTATTTGGCAATCATACAAATCAGGTAGCCAGAAATGTAAGCAGCTTTAAACAAAAGATCAAAAGAAACTAAAGGACACCAACCAATCCTCCAGTTATTCAGAACAGACAAGCCCCACTGTGTCAATGTGAAGGGGCCCAGCACTGCAAGTTAGCACTGGTCCAGGAGAAATGATGGCAGTACTGGGGGATATGGACCATTGATCCCACATGGTATAAGTTGGTATTTTTCTGTTTACCATTAAAGCATATAAGTGAGCATTACAAAATGGATCTCAGATCCATTATTACCTTGAAGAATGGTTAAAGTCATAATTACCTTTATATCTTGCAGGTAGATTTTTACCATGCTCACTTTGTCCGATTCTTCTGTAAGTTCCAGTCTGCTGATGTTAGCAAATTCTGCTAAGATGGTTATGATGTTTAGTTTGTTATTAACAACCTGACTGATTCCATATTTGGCTCCTACCAGGAGGGCAACACACGATTCTCTATCCTGCAGCTACAAAGGAAAAAATGGCTTAAACAGCAGCTTAGAATACTTTACCAATGATGAGCTCATGCATGCATGTTCATCATGTGATGAGCAATATGGTGTTCAAGGATAGGCTGGACATGCACATGGTAGGCATGTCATGAGCAGAGCCAGCTGGAGCCTGGGGTCAGACTAGATGGCCCAGGAGACCCCTTCTGACTCACTCTGTTTCTCTGTTTCTATTCTGGAGTGAGTATGTCTCCTAGCAGGAGCATTTTCTCATATTCTGATTCTATTGAAGAGGAAGCAGGAAAGCCCCACAACACACGGAGAAACAATCAGGGTAATGTGTGGAAACTAGCATGCAGAGGGGTTCCTCTGGAGCCCAGGAAGGCATTTTGGGAGAAGCAGCTCAAGAGAGGATGCCGAGTGCCAGGACATCATAGCTTTATATTGACCACCAGAGGATGTCAGGACACTAGTCGGAGCTACTAATTAACTTTGGCAAAAGATGGGGACTACTGGAATCCTAGCTACAGCACCTAGGAAGCCTCCTTGCAGCAAAAGGACAGGTAAGGTCAGGTTGCACCCTCTGGTCCATCCAAGAACTTCCGGGTCAGTCTTGTTCTCTGGTCCAAGCAGCCGAGGGATGCTCTAATTGCTCCTTACTGGCTGTTAGCCAAGACAGGAACATGACTTGTGTACCTGTAACCATTTCGTTCCTTTCTTCACATGGGTTGGCAAATAAGCCTGGAAATCTTCACTTATTTACGGTTCCCTGTTTTGTCCGAATCAAGAAACTATGATTAACGACATTGAAATAAGCCCAAATGGCTTCATATCCTGCCTTGTTCTGAACTTATTAATCATAGTTTCCAGGTTTGAATGAATTGGGAATGTACAGCTATGTGTAGGAGCACACCATTTTTCATAGTTCCGTTTATTAAACTGATCAGAAATTTTGGGTCCCTGAGATCTCCAGCTGTTCTTCATTTTTTATTTTTTAAGCTTGGTTTAGCCCTTACAATGGTGAAGATGCACAGGAAATGCCTAGTAAAAACTCATGTCCCAGATGGTGAGTGAGACTGAGAAGGCAGGGATGGGGGCCTCAGCAGTTGGAGGGAGGAGAGTAGTGTTGGTTTGCTTCCACACAATGGGTTGTTGCAGCATTGTGCATCTGGTTGCATCTTGGCTCTGTCTAATCCTGGAAATCGAGACTGGATTTTATTTAGGCTCCTGGTCAACTATCCCCCGGGAAAGACTGCCTTGTCTCATGTTCTAAAGGAAAGTGCAAATGACTGCCAACCAAGGCTGAGTGATTTTGACAAAGGCATTTTATGACATGAAGAACAGGAAACTAACAAAATCCTTTATGCAGAATAAACCTACCCCACAGTGGTTACAGGTAAAATGAGAAGAAAAATCCACTGCATCCAAATGGAGGCTCTTCTCCAGTACCAGGTGTCACATTTTGTGACAAGAACGGTCAGGGCCTTATTTGAGGTGCCGCCCAAACTGTGCAGTATCTTCCCCATAGAATCATGTCTGCTGTCAACTTCATATTATTTTCAGTGCCAAGACAAAGTCAGTTTCCCAGATATTTTTAAATGATTTAATAAGCAGACTAACAACTTATTTTTGGTATCTAAAGTCCTTTTTTGCTGTAGTATATGCTGTTTTATTGTTCTGAATATTGTTTACATAGTTTATGTATTACGTGATATTAAGCAGAGTTTGCATTAGCAAACCATATTCCTTCTACTGGGCTGTTCTGTATTCCTTGCTTTGCAGAATTCCTGAAGACTCAGAGGAACATCTCACAAATCATAAGTGACACACATGTTGGAAATCAAATAGAAGAGAAGTAGAGTTGGAAGGGACCTATATGGCTATCAAGTCCAACCCCCTGCTCTGCTTCCACATGTGGTCACCCATCCAGCTGCAGGCCCACACCTTTCCAACTTAGCAAAGGTGACTCAACATGCTAGCTCATTGTACAGCTATACAGGAAGACATAGACATGTATTCAATGTATTCAGAATGTGGAGTCAGTTGAAGAAGACTGTCAATAGTCATAGTAAAAAATAAGAGAAAATACCAGGAAGGTTCATATAATCAGAATCTGAAAACAAGGAAGCTTACCATGAGAGTGGCATTAAAGATCTTTCCTCCATAGAGTTTCAGGTCTCCAAGAATCTGCAGGTAACAAAGACGCACCTGTGCTGCAGAGAGGAGGTGCTGCAATTGTTGAGAGGAAGGTGTAAAACTAGTGAAGCAGCTCTTGGACTTATTGAGGAGCTTGGGGAGGGCATCGGAATCCCAGTGCTTTGCTAACATTTGGGCTGCATCTGACTGGATAGGACTGATGACCTCCACTGTTTTGATACAGCAGGGGTGTGGAAACTCACATCCGGGGATCTGGTTTCCCACTGGCATGCCCCCTTCATCTGCCCCTCTCTTTATTGTAACCATAGATCGCTGTGTAGGTTCCTGGCTTTTTGGCATTACCCCCTCCCACCATTCTAAACATTTGAAATGCTTCTCCTAAGGTTTATGAGAGGCAATCACGAGAAGGCAGGAAAAGAAATGGAAAGCCAAATATGAGATGGATTGACTCCATAAAGAAAGCCACAACCCTGAATTTACAACCATTGATCAGGGATGAAAATGGCTAGGACATTGTGGAGAGATTTTATACATAGGATCATCATAAGTCAGAGTTGATTTGATGGCACATCACAACAACCACTAAGTTTAGTTATTGGCTTTAGCAGTTTTAAGCAAAACTGTGCTGGGATTTCAGCTCCATCTCTTTTCTTTCAGTCTTGCCCTCCACTGCAATGCAGTCTTCAGGTTGAAAGAAGATCCTGGCCTGAGATATGGCAAGACTTAGGGATAGCAGTGGGATGTGGGAGTAGTGTCTGGGACAAATGTTCCAGTTATTATGTGACAGCCTGGAACAGAAGGAGCTAACCTTGCAGAATGGGATGCCGCAGCTCCTGTGAAACACTCCTGCTTCTGAACGGATCACATTCAATGCATGTCCATGCAACTATCTCAAAGGTGCCTTGAGTGCCCTTTTTCTTGGTACAAAGGCAGGTACCAACCAAATCATTCCATAATATACTCCCAAGTTAACATACAATGAAAAAGGAGACCCCCAAAACTTGATATACAGAAGAAAAGGTGGTATCTGATTATCTCTGGGCACAAGCAAATATTCACCATCATATATACTAGAAGCTTGGGCATATTCACTATGCACAGTATGGGGACACACACACACGCACACACGAACGCACATGCACATTTTGCTGCAACAGCCACTCCTATAAGCACCTCCTTCCAGCCCTCTCAACTGAGCAAGGACAAAATGCTACGGCCCACTTGCTGTCACAGCAGGCCAGCTATTTCTTCTTAGAGGAACAACAGTCATCACTTTTTCCTTGGGTGCTTTTGTTCCTTGTGCTTTCTGACATATGGGCATTCAGGAGGAGGAAAAGCAGCTGCCATCAGAGAAGGAGCAAGCAAAATGGCCGATCTTATGGCTTCCTTGCAGTTCAGAGCAAAAAATTGTGGGAATCTGAAAACGATGCATTGACATGGTCTCTTGCCTTGCCAGGAAGGGGCACGGGCCAAAGAAAGCTGGAGATGGCGCCCCAGCTGTGGGGGCCTGTGACAGCTGCCTTGAAGCCAGTGAGCAGCCACTGCTTCTGCATGGAACCTTCAGTCTATATCTCTTCAAGAGCCTAATGAATGACCCACCTCGTAGACAACAGAGTTTAACATTCACCTCCCAAATAAATGGCCACACGATTTCTTGTCTGTTAGCCCATTATTTAGAATGAATGGTGCAGCTGTTACCGGGCTACTATGGAGTACTGGCTAAGATCATGGAATAGGTTCATTCAGAAATATCAAGCTAGCCCAGTGTATCAGGGCAACTTAACCCGCTGGAGAGTTTCTCAGCAAGGTGACCTTTCACAGTTGTGATAAAGACACTACCTTTTGTCTCGGATCCAGCAAAAGCTGATTCCTCTTCATGTGAAAGCTAATGGCCTTTTTGATATCTTTGCCCCTCATATTTCGGAGTAAAGTTGGAGAGATAAAGTTTTCTATTCCCCAGTCCTTCCTGTAACAAAAAAAGAAGGGTAAAATTGAGATGCTATCCCTGAAAAAATCCTTGGACCAAAAGTGATCACTCAGTCATTGTGAGGGTTTGGAACAGGAATTTCAGGATGATGTATCAGGTTTGGGGGAGTGTCTTTGACTTTGGATCCAGAGGTTATATTGTGGGCATATATGAAAATTGATAAAAAGAAAAGAGATATAATCTTCTATACAAAGTTTGTAGCAGTATTATTGATGGCAAAATTTTAAAGGCATAAAAATGCTTTTCCAGGTATGTGAGACAGAAGGGATGTGGCAAATGTAATGTGACTGAAATGCATACTAAGGTTTAGTGAGGGAGAGATAACAGAGATAGATTACCTGAATCAGCCTTCCACAACCTGGTTCTGTCCAGATGTACTGGACTACATGTCCCATCAACTTTGACCATCAAGACCATGGCTTTAAGATCCCAGATGCAATCCTTGGCACCTTAAATCTGAAGGAGCTTAGGGAAATGCACACCTGAGGCTTTGGCAAGTTTCTGCTAGTTAAAGTAGACAATTCTGGGTTGGGTGGATCAACAATTTATAGGCAGCTCCTTATGGTCAAAGTGCTTAATTCCTTTGTACTGGTACAACACATCTTCTTCCTTATACGGTGGGAATTTACCATCTAATTACTGTAGACAAATTTATCACTGTCATCCCCCCCAAGTGACGCCAATAGAAATCAGCTTTTTTGACAAAAGAATGTTCATCTTCTTGAAAGCACTATGGATATATTCTGAATTGGTAGGACCAGACTGTGCTGATCGATTATGAAATGCGGTTTGTTGCTCTGAACTGGAAACAAAATGGGACAATGAGAGCTGTGAGCTGGCTGAAGGTGAACCTGAATCTCCTGGGATCAGAGTGTTCTCTCTTGGGGTGGGATGGGATAGGATTAGATCAGGGGTTACAGATCCACTGTCTTGTACTGCTGGCCCACCTGGCATCCCAATCCAACTCACTGTAGTTTGTCAGGTGGCACTCTGCTCCTTCCCCCAGCCCTTCCCCATTTCCCTCCACCACTGATTGTCTGGTGATTTCCTGCTTTTGTGCAGATTTCTACCCCCACCCCATGCTTAAAGGTGGGAATGCCCCTCCACAGGCTTAATGGCTACCAGTAACTGCTTTGAGTTAAAGATGCTGACATTGGTTGTCCTGTCCTTGTTGCCTTCAGCCCTACCTGCCACTGGAAGGCTACCTCCAAGAGCTTCTCTGAAATGGAGTTCAGCCTCTGACCAAAAGAGGTTCTGCTTTAGATTAAGGGTGGGGAACCCTCAACCAGAAGATTCCTGCCACTTAATCTCATCCATCCTCTGGGTAGTTCCATGGAGTGTTGTCCCCATGAGGGAAGGGCGGACAAGCAGCAGCAGTGTCCTCCACCCTCCAGGCCTTTCCTGAGAGAAGGAGAGCCAGTCCAAGGAGAGTGCTTGGTGAAGCATCACGGCAGGAAGGTGCTCCAAGCCTTTTCTCTTCTGGTGGAAATGTTCTTGAAAGAAAGAATAGGTATGCTGGCTTCACCTGCCTAGGGAGGTGGTAGGCATATGATTGTTCGTGATTGACTGGATAGTCAATTATCTGGATAATTGACTATCCAGAGATTCAGGTGATAGTGACACCCAGCATTGTCATTCTAGACATTTACAATGCTTATTATGAATGCTTACAATAGTCATAATACTATTGAGAACTGTAATACCATTAATTAAGCACAGTCAATGGGCCCCAATTGATTTTTTTCTGTCCTTGATAAAAAGCTTCCACTTCTTCTGTAAACAGAAAACTTTGTGAGTCGGCTTATCCATATTCCTCCTGACAGCCGGCAAGTCCTGTTCCAGAAGAGGCGGCAGAAGTGGCAGAGCACCTGCGATTCTAAACCAGCAATGGCAGCACAAGACCCCACACTGGCGAGTCTTTAGTGAGGACCAGTATAGTAGAGTGGCGATTATACCGTTGGGCAAGACCAGCATGAGCAGAGCTTTGCAGCTGACTGAGTGATCTTTGGCCAACCACTCTCTCTCAGCCTAAACCCACCTCACCAGGCTGTTGTGATGGATGAATAATCACCCAAGAATCATTAGCTAGCACTTTGATCTTCTTGAAGAAAAAGAGAGGCTAATTGTAATACCTCATCATAATGCTTCACTTAGGACACTTCCTGGGGAAGTTGCGATCTAGAAGGGCCCTAAAACAATAGATTGTGTTTGTGGCTAGTCCCTGTGAAAACAAATGTAACGCCGATGGCAAAAACTGCAAGCAGAGAACTGCAGCTTGCTTGCCCAAACCTGGGTCATTTTATCACTATTTTTATCAAGGCCTTTGTAATCATGTCTCTGCAGGTAATGGAATGTGAATGTGGCTGGGTGTAAAACACACAGCCTTGTTGAGGAAAATGATGCTCAAGGACATTTGGTGGCCCAGCAATACCTTCAAGGTGCACAGTTCTGGCAATTGACAATACATCAGTGCCAGCGCTGCCCTAGATGTTTGGGGAGTAATGAGAAGACACCTGTGCCCATGCGTGCAGATCATCCACTTTAATGCATATTGAGATGTGTATGTTACTAAGCTAGATTTTACTTAGCACTGATGCTTGTATTCGAACTCAATGCACACAAAATTAACATGGAAACTGTCATGCTGTGCAATCAGTGATATATTTCATTCCCACAATTAGCCACAAGCAGCTTTGGTTACCCAGTCTTACATTTGGTATCCCACCCTTTCTATAAAAGCTCTGGGCGGCATCTATGGGGAGCTCCCATCTTATCCTGACAACCAGTGCCAATGTCAGGGGATGGCCCATTAAAACTGGAGGACTGACTCTTTCATCTGGAGCCCCAAATCTTGGCAAGGCCAGCTGTCCACTACACTGCTGTCCATGGGCACTTGCTGAAATAAAATTGCAGAAACCCAGAGGATCTTTCTCACATTGAAGCCCCCTGGATCAGTTATTTTTTGCCCACATGTGCTTCATCTCCTGTTGCTCCCTGCTCCTTCAATCTTTCTGCCTTAACATTTTTTCCTGAAATCAAATGCCCATGCATCCCCTTTTACAAATAAACATTTAAAGATGGTCAGGCATGCATACAGACTTTACTGCATAGACAAACACTAGCCAATGCATTTTTTTGCATTTTCTATGATTTGTGGGTCTCAGTCCTGCATCTTCCATAAATAAATAAATCTTCTTAGTGCCTGGGACAACACCTGCTCACAACAACTCTGTGAAGTAGGTTGCACTGAGAGACAGTGGCTGATGCAGACTAGGATTAGGCTCAAGGGAAACCAGTAACTGTTTCAGCCAGGTGGAACTTTTCACCTGGATCTCCCTGGAACTAGTCCTAAGATGTTACTCATCACCACACGCTTGTGTTACACACATGCAACCTGTGTGACAATCCATGAGTGGGTTAGCAGAACCAATCCATGAGTGGGTTTCATGTTATTTTCTACACGGAAGTACCCTTCACATGGGGAATGCACAATAAATATGAGGTATCCTTAAAAGGGCAACTGGGCACATGACAGTCACCTGAGCAAGTCTTTTCTTTCTTCCTTTTTTCAAGACACAGACTGAGGAATTAAAAAAAGTAGTGGAGTTTACAAAGAGACACATTTTCACTTACTCTATATACTTGAGGGAGACTTTCTGTGGCTGAGCACAAGTGATGATTCGTTCTTGGATGTGCAGCGCAGCCAAGCGCAAAGCGACGCTGCACTTCATCTCGACAGCAAATCTCTCCTGCAGCACATCACTGCAGCTCTGAAATTGACAGAGCCAGGTTAGTTAGTGGAGAGAAGCAGATTTCCCTTTGCACCAAGTCTGGGTAGAAGGCAGTTGTGGTAGCCCGGTGGCTAGCTGGAAGATCGGCAAGGAGTTGTCACTCCCAACTGTTTGATGCCAGCAGCAACCAAAGGATTCTACTCTTGCCCTATCATCCAAAACTATATTACTGAAATGAAGAAAGTATGGGGTACCTAGGAGGGGGTTTTTATACAGGACTGTAAATTCAGTTCAGTCCTGATTCAGAACAAATTCCTGGGTGGAGAATCTTTTAATTCTAAATGTGTATCTTTTGCACTCACCTCTGGCTCGTGAATCTTAGGGTTCTAGTTATCAACCAAGTAATTCCTACACTCCTGAATCCTGCCCACCGCTAATCTGCACCAAGATATTCCCACCCATTCCCCACAAGTAATCTTTTCTGCTCAGCCTCAGATGGATGGCCATATACTGAGTTGTGTGACTTCCTTCAGTGAATGAGCCTCATAGATCAAATATCACCCACAGGATTTGCAAATCATTACATAAAAAATGCTTTCCAGTGGAGTAGTATTCAGCCACATGAGATAACATGGGAAATCTAGAGGATACATGCATATGCAAAAGCAGCTCTGCTTCCACAGACAAGTTTTTCTTTGTGTGGCTGACACATAAAGCCAGAGCTGCAGTGTGCAGAGGGTAAACAGAAGATCAGAAATCCCATGCGCAATCTCCATTGCTGGGCTGTTCACATTTTAGACTGGAGGCAGAGGGTTTGGCCTACTATGCCCATAGAGCCTGTGCTGAGGGCTGGAACCTCTGGAGAGCCACAACTTTCCCAGCCCTTCTGAAATGTCAGAAGGTTTATAGGTTCTGCTCCCCAGGCATAACCAGCATGTCAAGGAAAATACTCTCAGCTAAACTTGACAGTGTTGTAGGTAAATGGAACACTACATGTCGGGAAATACTCAGCCCCCACCTGAAGTCTGAATGCTACAGCCCAACAGCAGGTACATCATATGGGGACTCTGTGTCAACTTCAGTTCTTAAATGTTGCCCTATCACTATGGGGCTCCCCTTCTCGGGGGGCTGACCCATGTCCAAGCAAGTATACCTTTCTGTAGCACTGGCTTCTAGCAGCTGGGAGAAAGCTGCTTCAGTCTCTTGGAGCATACTTTGACCTAAACATGGAAAGATGATCTAGAAACCTTCAAAAATACAGACAGTTACATTCTGCTAGGAAGGGTGCCTGTGCCAGCCCCATTAGGTTGAACGGGGTGTGCACAGGAGGACTGTGATGCTCTCCTTGCACAGCTTCCATTAATTTCCCCTGGAAGGCTGCAAGAGGACTTTGCAGCGGACCTTATCTTACATTAAATGAGCCAAGAGGGAGCCAAGTTCCTTTCATATCTTGTATTCAATATTTTTAGGGAGTATTTCATTATGTTAGCTTTATTGTTGATTGTGTTTTATATGCACCATGAACCTCCAGGATGCGCTGGAGTAAAAAACAGGCAGCAAGCTTAAAAGACAGAGAAGTTAGGAATTAACATCATGCACATTCAGGTAGAGATGCTAATGTAATTCAGCCTATTCACAACAGTGTCCCCTCCCACCTCCCTCAGAACTTTTGCTCACAGGACTCCACGCAAGATGTCGTATTTTTCCCCCACTTCTTTAGTTATGAACAATGAGTAACACCTAAAATATGGCTATAGCCCAGAGGAATTTAGGCAAGCAGGTCTTGTTGAAATGCAGGGTGCTTAGCAGTGTCCATAATGAATATTGATTTCGGTGGATGTTTGGTACACGTTGTTCTTTTTTACAGCCTGATATTTTAAAATTACATTGCAAAAGGATGGTAGCGGGATTCTAGCAGCTATTCTAGTGGCAGTGGCATTTGCTCAATGCAGAGTGCTTTGACTGTCAAACTTTGAGAGACACAGTACCTCCTAGTGTCCCTCTTATATACACACTGAAATGTCAAGGCGATGATCCTCACACAAATATGAATAAACACGCACAAATGAATATGCAAATACAAAATATTATGCCCTAAGATACTTGCTTTTATAGTTCCATTTCTGTATTTTTGTAGATTTAGGTCACCTATGTTTTGAGTGGTTTTTTCCATTTGTTATATAAATAAAGTCAAATTATCACAATTTAATTCCAATCTGAATGGAGACACTGAAGTTCTCAAATGTTGTGAATATGAAAATACATCCAAGCAATTATGCAAAAAATGCTTTATTAATATTGAAAAGCACCCTTTGCACTGAACCTATGAGCCACACATGTGAGACAGTCATGGATGGATTATTTGTGCAAATACTTCTTTCTAGTGGGATGTGAAGATACCAAAGCTGCTGCAAAAGTATAAAACTTTTGAGGAATACCTCTTAGGTTTCTCTGTGTTGCTAAAGACTCAATCAAGGTTGATACGACTATAGTCTGACACATGATGCATTACCACATCACCTGCAAGTAGAGATACTCAAAGGCAACTGGATCTTGTTGCAACAGATGCAGTGGATCCTTGGGGATAAAGCAGACTCTGAAAAGGCACCGAAAATCATGAGACTCTTTCCTCTGAACTACCTGAAATGGGGAAAAAAGAATTACCACCATCATGCAACCATTAAGGTCCCCAACTCAAGAAATATTTCTTGAGAACTCCTGCTGTAATTCCTTTTTAAAAAAGCAAATGCCTATATAGGGTTGCAAAGATGGTTGCTTGGAAAAGTAAATGTAATTCCTAGTGAAATCCCAACAGTGCTGGACTAGATGGACCTTCAGCCTGATCCAGCATGGCTTCTCTTTTGTTCTCAGCTCTTAGCTCTCAGCTCCCAGGACTGGCCTGGTACCTGAGCTGCCTGCCAGCATAGTCCTTGACATTGCAAGCTGTGGCTAGCAAGTGCTGAGAAGAATATGGCACAGGACATCTTGGAATATTGATGCCCCTCAAGGCTCATCTACTTGAGCTGTACATGTAATTATAGGTAGCTCCTAGTTTTATAGGTGGCTCTAAAAGCATGGGAAATATATTCAAAAATGGGCCAATGTGCCACCAACATTCAGCACTGCTACAGAAACAAGATGGCTGTTCCCTTTTGTCTGCTGAGGGAAGGATAAGGTATGAAGAAGCAAATAAGTACCTTACTGCAGTCTAGAGCTTAACCCTAACTTCGAGGTTTATTAGGAAAAGCAGTGTGTATTCATTCCACATACAGTCATGAGGTGGTTAACCTGCCCCTTTATTGTGGCTTCTCCTATCTTCTTTGTGGGAGGAAAAATATGTCCTTCACACAGGGTTCTCCCCATCTGCATATTCCATTATTCACCCACAAGATTATGTGGTGATAGAGCTGCAATATGGCAGCATTGAAGCAATATACCAAAATTTCATTCTAGTTTTTCCTCATTTGAAATTGAATAGCTAACTTTCCTCAGTCTTAAAAGAAGCCCCCCCCCCAAAAAAAAACCCCCCTAGAAAACATGGGAGAGGCCCTGGAGGATTAAAACATCATGGCAAGCACTCGCAAACTTCTGTGAACGAGGGATCATAAGCAGTAAATGCCCAATGCTGAAAAGCCCTTAGATAAACAGCAACTTAAGTGACAATTAGGTGCTCTCCTACAAGGCTACTTTGTGATGCAGCTCCCAAAGCCCTCTACATGAGAAAGACTACAGTTTCCATCAACCCCAGCAGGCATGGCTCCATGCTGTCTGGGGATGTTGGGGAGTTATAGTCCAATTTTTCTGAAACATGCCAGATTGGAGGTGGCTGCCTTAGAGAGTGGCCGCAATAGCTTTATTCAGAACAACAGAGCACACAGTTGCCATGTTGTTCTGAAGTGCTAGCAGTTGCCAGGAGAGAGGAGTTTATAGAAAAGGAGCAGATCCTGAGGAAATTGGTACTTCAGAGAGCTTCAGTAAAATTGTTCCCATATAAGTAGCTTTGCAGGCGATCAGTGCACTCAAACAGAATGCCCTTCACGTGCAATCCACATATTTTGCGGAGATACCCACAGTTTCACAGGGTGGGGAACCTATGCTCTGAGGCAGACATTTTTAGGTAACAGCTCCCATCACCCCTGGCAACTGTCTATGAATGCTTTGGTTGAGGGAAGGAAGAATCCAACATTGTTTGTGTTGTGGAGGGGGGTACACTTCCCCTAACCTTGCGCCAGCAGGACTGGTAAAGGAGACAGAGTAACCTTTGTGCCAAAACAACAAAAACAACAACAGGAAACGCTTCTTCAGAAAGGTATTTCCTGTTGCTCTTCTCATTTGCCCACTGCCATCACTGATGGGAGCATCCTAAAGAACTGAAACTTACCTGTTCGATGCGCTCATCCTCATGTAGGAGATACATCTTCAATATGTTATACTGCTCTTCCAAGACCAAGGCAAAATGATCAATACTTCGAATGGAAAGCTTTTCTTTCAAAGTAAGGATAATGTCCTGCCAAATTTGCAAAATCACAAATCAAGTGACTGTTGGAGAAACTGTCCCCTCCACATCCAACTTGTGCATAACCTGTACTGCTTAATTTTAGAGGAAGGCAATCCTAAAGATGAGGCAAGGTGACGTGGCCACCTCAGATGGCAGATCTGGATCATCATCAAGGGCAGCAGAATGGATGAGAGGGAGATACAACCCATGGGGTACAGTCCAACAGAAATGTTTTGTATGCACAGCCCATTTAAATCTACACAAGTTGTGTGAGGTTGCAGTACATCTCTTGGCACTAAAGCTTGCCTGTTGCAGTTGATTGACTAATTCCAGGTTCCGCTAAGCACCTTAAATTGAAGGGAAAATAATGCCCATAAAATTTAGAATATAAATAGGCACCAACTACAATCTAGTATAGAACTATGCATGCTTAAGAAGCACCATTGATTTATTTGGTACTTAAAGGCAAATAACCGTACATTGGATTGTGGTCTTAGGCATGAGTATTATGTGGGTTTCCAAAAGGATGACACAAGCTGCCCATCCAGGAGTAGCTGAATTTTGCCAGGCTCTGTATCCTGTTTCCAAGACACTTCTCAACAATGAAATGTGGAAATATGCTGGTTGGTTCACCAGGCTCCTACACTTTCTACAACAAAGATGGGCAGAAGATAGATCTCCAGGTGTTTTGGACTTCAACTCCCAGAAGTCTTTGCCAGCATGGCCAATGGCCAAAAATACTGGAAGCTGGTCCAAATCATCTGGACATCTACTTCTACTCCCTCCTATTCAACAGTATGTCGCTCTTGTACTTAAGCAGCATATAACAGAATGAGCAAATTCAGGAGTCCAACTAAAAGTACCTTGACAGTTGTGTTTGCCTCAAACTTGAAAGCTTTTGTCTGCCCGTTTTCCAAGTATACCTTGAGAACATTGGGCATGCATAAGAGAGAACTTCCCTAGAAAACCAGAAAAAACAAAGTTACCATATCTCAAGCACTATTTCTTGGTTTTAGTATTCTCTGAGGCAGCCCTGTCCAGAAAAAGTTCTCTTGGAAGATCATAGCCAGCACACAGTTGAACGAAGGGAATTCTTAGTAGAGATATTCTTACACCTACAAAGTGGATGTTGCTTAGTTTGCTGGCTTTCAGAGTCCTTCTGCCAGCCCATCAGGTGAGTACAGCAAGTGGCTGCTAGGGAGGTGGACTTCTCCATTGTAGCAACCTGGGTCGTGGAACAACCTCTCCAGTGTCTTCGGCCTGACACCCATTTTGAGTTTTTTTGAATCAGATAAAAAAGTCTGCCAGTTTTTAAGGGGACCTATAAGGCTTTCAAGGCTTCTAACAGTTTTGGAAGTTCTAAGATCTTTGTGATTTGCTTGCAAGTCTTGTAGTGAGTGATCTCATTGTTTGACACTGCCTCATGTTTTTACTGCTTTAAAAAACATGCTTGTTTTTGCAGTGTAAAACTCACAGAGACTCTTGGGTAGGGGAGCACAGCAGCATATGAATATTGCAACTAAATATATTATTCACTTTAACAGTGCCTTCCTGACTGCTACATCCAAAATATACACATGCTAGTCAACAGGGTGAATGAATTTACATAATTCTATTGCTACCAAGTGGTATGTTCCATGGAAAGCAATAGCCCACTGCATGCTAGGCTGATGAAAAAGAGGATTTTCCAAATACACTGATTCCTCATCTTTATCCAGTATGTAGTGGTCTATTGCCCCAGAACACAGCAATTTTCTGAAGTTTCAGCAATCAGGTCTGTAACAGCACATGCAGTCTTGCTTTGTCCTGTTGTTTTAGAGGCCAGAATCCCAGAAGACTTGGCCCAATTCCACTAATTTGATGGCCTGCAGTCTAACAAGAGATGCCTTGAAGAAATAGCAACTGGGAGTTATTCATGCATTTGAAAAGCACGTTTGCCTTTGTCTTAAGATCTTCTTTTATTACTCTAGGGCTTCAAGTGGGGGCTCTCCCTGGGTTCATTTAGCAGGAAAAGTTCATTGTGTAGGAATACAGAAGATGGGCTTCTCAGCAGGAGCACTCTGTTTTTGGCATGCTTTCTCCAGAGAAGTTTGATAGTGCCTATCAAAGAATTCCTGCAGCTGTGTTGATCCATGTCTAGCAGTTTTAGCAGTTTCATCCCCACCTGGTCTTTGGTTATTTATTTTGTATGGTATTCATATGGCCAGGAAGTCTACAGTGTTAATGTAGAGTAGTTGACTGTCTTGGGTAACCTCATGCGTGTCCATTGCCCATTTAGGACCAAGTGACTTCAAAATGCTAGAACAGGGGAAATATAGTGTTGCTAAAGAAAATCCATATTCCCAAGCCACTGCAAGGTTTGCAGATATGCTCAGATGGAAGAAAGGAGTGTGAGGGTGGCAGCAAACATTGTCTTCATTCCTTCTGATAAAATGGTGTTACAGCTGCATCCCTGTGAGTCCTAACTCGACTGTACCACTGCTTGGAGGGCATGTAGCACAACCACTGGCTCAAGGCATGATCAACCACTGGCAGGATGCAATTACGACATCCTGAACTATTTGGGAGCAATACAGTAAAGGGTGTACATGCACATGTTAGCTCAGCAAACATTTCCTGGTTCATGTGGAGGGCAGGGACAATTTGAAAAGACCACTACAGGGCAGAATAGAGTTGCTCCACCCTTCTCCCTCCCACTGATTTTCTTTTTCATTCATTCTCACAACCACTCATCTTCACCAGACTGATTTTAGACTTGGAGCTAAAATGGAAACCACACAGACAACAGACCTGGGAGTGACTGTAGTCCCAAAAAACTTGTGGGCACCAAAGTGAGGGAAGACTGCACTGGACTGATTCCTTACAGCAGAGGTGCAGAATCCCAATCCTGGGAGCTAAATCCACCCCTCTGGGATTCTCCAGATGACCTCTACTCCCCCTTCCCAATCTCTAATCATTTTGTTTCCTGGCTTTTATGCAGTTTTCCTCACAATTCTAAGGGCTGAAATGTGTCTTTTTAAGGCTTACTTACTGGCAGTAAGAGCACTAAGCTGAAATATGCTCGTTATGTTTGGTATTTTTGTCCCCATCCTTTTCCCATCAGCCCCACCCACCATTGGAATGTGGCCCCCAAGACTGTCTCTGCAATGGAGTTTGGCCCTCAGATGGAAAATGGTTCAACACTTCTATCTTACACACTTCCCACTGACAGGTGGGAGCTATCTTCCTCAATTAGAAGGACATTTCCTACATATCGGTGGTGGTTTGTTTCCTGCTGTTGCATTTTATATGAACTCCACATTCAATATTTATATTTCCAAATGACACTGAATTCTATTTTTTGTACTCTTGTCCTTTTACATCAATTTGCTCTGAGGCATTCCAGCAGAAAAAAGAAAAGCAGCTGGCAAATGCATAGGTCAGTTGCAAGGAAAACAATGTCTTCTGTAGAATCAAAACCCTGGTTGTGCAAGGGCATGTTCAATGGATGTGAGAAAACATGCCTGGTCTAGAGTGCATTGTTTTCCTTGCAAAAATCCTTAGATGACCCAGTGTTCACATCTAGCTTCACCACAGGGCAATAAACAAAACTTATCCTGGAAAATTAAGGTTTAAAAGCATTTGGTCTCATCAACAATTCATGCTCTCAGAGCGAGGGTTCATATTTCAGCAGTGTGAAAGCGCTTCTGGGATTTTTCCAAACAAAACTTTGTTTAGCAATGACGCTCCACGTTCCATTTAAAATGTCCATTGTGATAGGTCCTTCTGAGCAGCTTGCTATGCATGTTTTGGAAATGAATGAGAATTACCTGGGAAGGCTTCCTCCTTGCACAGGCACACGACTGAGCACGGAGGGACCCCCGCAGAGCACAACAGGGTCATGCTTGCACCTTTGCTATGTACACAGCAGCTCACAATCCTGGACTGAGCAGAGGGAAGGAGGCTAGATCTAGAAGCAAGCGGCATGCATAGGCCTCCCTACTGTGGCAACAATCGGTTGCAGCATCTGCCCCTGTACATGTGCCAAGAAGGGAAGGGGTTAAAAACAGAACCCTGTCATGCTCCAAGGAAGCCTTCTCAACTTGGTACTCTCCAAGTGAGTTGGACTGCAATTCCAATCATCCCAGCCATCTGTCTGAAGATGGTGGGCATCGTGTCCAATACATCATGTGGGGAAGGCTGGTCCATAAAAATACTTAATGTCCAAGAGGGAGGTCTTGCACTTCCTTCGTTTCTCTGCCTCTTTGTCTTTGGACCCAAAGCAGCTTGCAATCTACACAAATTGGAATACATTATAAATGTACTTTCCATTTTTGACGACATGGAACATTTTTAAAGAAGAACACTCATGATGTAACCTATGCATGCCTGCTCAGAAGCAAGTCCCATTGATTTCAGTTGGGCTTACTCTCTGTTAAGTGGGCAAAGAATTGCAGCATAAGGGGTTAAGTGCTTGCCTCTACGTCTCTTTTTCTGCAAAAGGGAACAGAAGATAAGCACTTATGATAGCCTTTCCTTTTGACTACAAACAGCAGTCAAACTACAAACAGTACAAATAGTAGTCAAAAGGATGGGTTCATTACATTTTAAATTATGCATACTTCCATTCCAAAAAAGGGCATACACTTCGAAGCTTTAGCAATATGCACATGTATTTAAATTGAAATAATAATATAGCTCAGTTAAAAGGCTGAGAAATAACCAGTTAGGTTTGTTAATTGGCTGAGGGTCTAATTAGAACTTCTAGTCTAGTTAGCCTAGTGCAGGAGTGCAGATCCTGGAGAAATTTTAGGGATGCATTCCAGTGATAGGAGGGGCTGAAGGCCTTTGGGCCCCAGGATGACCAAATTTGGCCTCTGGCTCTGAAGTTTCACACCCCTGGCCTACCATATCACTTGTATTTAATTCTGATCCCAATAAATGACTTCTGGCTAATTTTGAAGACACAAAATTTGATTACTGTTCTGGGTCTATTTTATATGGCTTGGTGACTGTACTGGCACAGACCTGAGTATGTCCATTCACAACGACTTCTTCAGCAAAGCGGACTTTAACAGGATTTGTCTTTAGCCTGGCTCTTTTCTCAGCTGTAAGAAAGGATGATTTCGGGCCCCCCTGGAAAACAACAGCATTGGGTTTGCAAATGACAGCACAGTATGACCACAAATACGAACAGCTCTGGATGACTTTGACTCTGCATATGAGTAATGTATCTGGCTGGATTCCGCCAAACTCTATGTTCTTTTCTACTGCAGCCAACCTGGTCCCTTCAGAAAGATTACGGGAGAGTCAACACATGAGGGTGCTGGGCTTATTTTGTTTGTTCACAAACTTCTCCAACCCGCTTTCCCACCATCCCTAGATAGCATGGCTACTGGGGAAGGCTGGTCCACCATCTATCCCCTCTATCTGGTAGTTAGAGCCAGGGCAGGCACAAAATTCTTGGTGCTGCTGGACATGCTGCTTTCATTGCTACTTCTTCTTCTGCCAAATGCCAGGCTCTGATGAAGCCCTTTCTGAGAAACAGGCAACGTGCAGAGAGGCATGTTAGGAGATGGCCTCTGCCGCAGAAGATCTCATGGGACGTCTCTTGTCTGAAGCAACCACCCATGCTACCTCAGACCAAAAAGAGGCCATCAGCCACTCCAAAGAGAGGGCTTCTGGGTATTGCCTGTGGCACAGACAGTGTTCAGGGACATCTCTCTGGTCTCCATGTTGCCTAGCTGTGAGGAAGGGCCCTTCAGAGCCAGGCATTAATGTCTAACTGTTCCAGCCACTTTCTCCAGCCTACCAGCCTCTTCCCCAAGCTGTGCCCTCTAGCCAGAAAGAAGAGCCCTTTTCCTGCTGAGAATGGCTGGCACCATGGCAGGTAGTTGCTGGCTGGCTCAGTCCTGCTTACTCTTGAGCCTTGCCTGCTTACTTCTGAATAGACATGGGCAGGATTACCCCTGCTTACTTCTGGAGGCATTGCTCATGCTCTTGCTTACTTTTGAGTAGACATGCAGAAGCTTGGTATTTGGGATTCGATCTGCAAGTGCTGCTGAATGATTCAGCCCCATTTAATGCTGAGCAGATGCGCTGAGCTTCTCCTGCTTACATCTGAGTAACATCAGGAGAGCCCTGCTGGGTCAGACCAAGGTCCACCTGGGCCTGCTTTCTACTGACACAGGTCTCCAGAAGACAGGTAGTGGCAGTGGTGAATGTAGGGTCATAGAGGTTGTCAGAGATGGGCCCTTCTGAGTCCATGTGCCTTTGATAGCTCCCAGTCTGGCTGACTGCCCATGGTGGGCATTTCTCAGAAGTATTCAGCTTCCAATGTGGAGCTCCTTAACTATCATGGATGGATCAGACTCCATGCATCTGTTTTATCATCATCGTAGCTAGCGGCTATCAACACCATCTTGCTGCAGTGATTCCATATGTTTTCAAAGCTGGGACTTGATACTCTGAGGGTTCATTCCCTCCAGCTGCTTGGTAATACTACCCAATTTGGGCTATATCAACTCCTTGCTTAGCACATCTCCAGCTTTGTTGAGAATATAAAAGCAGCTCCAGTTTTGCCTATTTTTCTCTCTGTTTTCATTGCTAAGGGAGCCTGTGTGCTTTGGCAAAGGAGGAGACATTTCTGAATAAATAGCTGGGTTTTTTTTCCAAAATAAAGGCTGAAAACATGACTTTCTTCTTTTCAGCAGTGCTAGGGGCAGGTCTAGCAACTACAGGTAGAACCTGAAACTGTTGCATCCCCTGCTAGAGCAGGCTGGGGCAACAGGCAGCCTGTGGGTCATGTGCAGCCCTGTAGCATCCTTTGCACCCCTCACTGGGGAGTGCAATTAGGCATAAAAACAAGGTGCATGTTCTTGATATGCCTTGTTTTAAATTGAAAAACTATTTGGGGGGTTTGAGGGGGAGTCTCTTGAATTGCCACTGAATTTTGGCAGAGACTTTAGCAACGGAGGTGTGTGTGTGCAGCTTATGCTGGCTTCTGGGGATAGAAAATTGGCCCCTGAAACCATCCCTGGGCCTTAGTCGTATGTCTTCACAGCCTTCCTTTTCTGTTCCATTTTAAGATCATGCAGATACAATGTCAAGGACAAGTCAGTTTTTCTCCTCACTCCCTTTCCTTCCACCCTCAACCTTCTTCCTGTAACATCATGCCTGAGGAAGAGATCTGGCAGTCCTGAAAACATTGCCATTTTGAAGTGATTGTGCACTTTTTCTGCTTGTCCTAATAAAGATATTGCATTAATACAGATTTTTGGATCATTGTAGATTGTAACTATGAGTTGAGTGAAAAAGTTCATCTGATTGTTGGTCCTGAATCTTCCACCAGTCTCCTGCACTGGATAAACCTGAATTAGGGTATTATGGGAGGAGGAGCAAAATGTATCTGTGATTACTCTTTTCAAACGGCCATTATTTTATAACCCTCTTTTATGTCCCTTCACAATAATATCTGCACATCCCCAAACAAACACCCCTCCCCTCAAAAAGCTTTAAAAGAGTTTTCTAATTAAGATGTTCTAACACATCGGCCACTCTTTTTCTTTCTTCATTACAGGAACAAGTCAGACCGAGTCAGAATACAAAGGTGAATAGCAGCTGTCTGCCATGGGGTATTTAGAAGCAAGCTGGCATTTGGGTCTGCACTGAAACATCTCAACACTGTGTACTCGATGCCAATGTTACAGTCAGGGCAAACCTCCACCCTTGACTGTCGCTGGCAGAGACCACCTCATCCTCCCCAGGGCCCAGACAAGATACATGCTTTTTAGTTTAACACATCTCTCAAGCGTACCATAACGCTAAGATTACCTCCTGGAAGACTTTATTTGTGCTCTCATGTGCATACCCATCAGGAAGCCAAACCCTTACCCTCCAAGGAGCATGTCAAACACCAGTGGAACATGAAGGCAAATTACCGAGGTGCATCGGAGAACTGTAAACTGGAGAGTGTCTTGCGATTCCCTGTAAGAGTAAAAAATAAAAAATAATAATTAAAAAAGAAGACAGCTGTTTCCACAAAGGGAGATGCATAATTTTTCAGGAGAGAAGTTAAATATCATTCATCTGTAGAGATATGAATGACTGTCTTCAGCAGATCCTGCATTCCAGAACCACCAATGCCAGTGATGAGTAGAACTTCTGGCTTGTATGATCTACGTTGCTTTTTTTACAGGAATCTTCAAGTTCCATAAATTAGAAGAAATACACATGGAATTAAAGAATTTTGAGCCCAGAAATGTGTTTTGAGAACTGGAACTAAACAGAGTACACAGCCCTGCCGGATATAGCTCCACTCCTCTTATCCCCAAAACTTTTTACTTTCAGCAGAATTATTTGGAGCAAGGGAGAGTTCCTTTGCTGCTGCTGCTGCTGCTGCTAAACAGCTGGGAGAAGTCAGAAGTCCTCGCTGGTCTACTGCAAATGACCACTCGATTCAAAAGATCCTGATCTGTCTTCTGTCCACTGCTCACGTCTATGCAGGAGACATTCAGTGCTATTCTTCTAGCTCTGGACTGTTGTCCTATCTCCAATTCCACATCTCCAATATTTTTGCTAGGATGCTTTTTGCTCTTTTGGATGGCTGACTGGAATCCTCATATGCTTTCCATATCCACAGACCATGCACTGTTGAATAGGCATGTTAACCTGGGTTTTCTCTTTGATATCCTAAGAAATCTCTTTGATCCTCTTTGATCAAAGAATCTCTTTGATTCCTAAGAAATTAGGAGGGTGGGTACTCGGAGGAGGGCTTTCTCCGCGGTGGCGCCTAAGTTATGGAACGCGCTCCCCAGAGAGGTCCGCCTGGCACCGTCGTTATTTGTTTTTCGGCGCCAGGCGAAGACCTTTTTATTCAAGCGGCATTTTAACTGTTAACATTATTGGTTTTATCTGGCCAGGGCGGCTTATTTTATACTGTACTGTTGTATTTTAATTTTATATTTATATTTT